AAAGGAAAAAGTATGAGAGAAGGAAAAAAACAATGGAAATGAAATCTAAGTAAATAGGTAAGGGCAGAGGGGGTGAAGGGTGCACAGGTAATGAGGAAAAAAATAAGAACCAAGATATATCATATACAGGTGCAAACACCCAATGATAAATGTAAATGAATTGTATACCTAAAATGTACCAATAAAATTAATTAAAAAAAAACCAAACGAATGTAGCAAACTCGTGTCAAGTGTACATTGAATACTGCCACTAAGTCTTACAGCAAGTCTCTGTTGTCAGCAAATAGCTTAATGTGTTATTTGTGTGTATGTTACAAAATGTAATTTCTTTTGTGATTTATAACTATGAAGTCATTTTAGAAGAGACATTCACAAGGAAAAGATGATTAATTATAGTTTGGCATTTCATAATTATCCATACTTGTTCTTATATCCTAATTATTTTTCATGGCTCTAAGCTTTTCTGTTGTTGGTCTTTAATAAGATCAATCAATAACTCATTAGGATCGTGGAGGAAGACAGGATAGGAAGGTGGAAAGATGAGAAGACCAAAGTTTGCTTTCAATTCCATTTTTCCCTACTATTTTTTTATTGTATGTGATTATCTTTTTTAAAAATTCATCTTAACTTCCCAGGAAATACCTTGGTTTCTGCTTCTTTTGTGGTTGATCCTCAGACAGTTTATTGTAGCAAGACTTATCATCACTGGGTATTGTTCTTAATTTTCTTTAGGAAAGATTCTTTTTGAGTTTGGGGTCTGGCTAGACCGTTACATTTCATTCTACATGTGCAGAAAGTCAATCTGACCAGTTTAGGATTATGCTCCTCGCACTTGGTTACATTCCATTTTTATCTGCTATATTCTGTTGTTGTTTTCTTGAAACTGGATACTTTCTAAATAGAAATATTTCACACTACATTATAGTTATGATATTTATTTAGTTTGCAGTTTCAAGGCTTTCACATAAATTCTTATAGCCTTTGTATTTTAATTTATATAACATTAACATTGTACTCACTCTCAGTGGAAGTTCATGGTAATCCTGCATTTTCTCTGTTGTGCTTCTTCATTTACTAGTTTCTAAATATTCTGATGCTTCCCATTACAAATAAGCTATATTTCATATTCCACTGAAATTAACTTTATATCATCTTGTTGAGATAAGCCTCCTCCCTCTAAATTTTGTGTTATCCACTATTTTTTTTTTAGCAAAGTTCCACTTGACATAGAACCTAGTAATAATCCGATGGAAATCTTAAAATTAAATAAATAATCATCCTTTTGTGGGAATTGTAAACCTGGGGTGGGGAGACACAATGAGAGTATTTTCATGGTTTAGTTTTAGTCTAATGATTTCAAGAGTTGACAGTATACAAGAGAATTGTGGAAGTGCTAAAGGACGCGATGCAATCATCTATTGCCAAAGTGCAGAGCACTGATCTCCATTAAGTTCAAGCACCAGAATTTAATGAATTAATTTCTCAGTGCACATTTTATCCATCAGCTCTACAGAAAACCTGGGATTTGCATGTCTCTTTCCTGTTACTTAATATTGGCTTTAAAAAGAAACCACAGCAATGGATGGCATGCACTGCCTTTGTGGCTCCTGAAGTATATCTAGGGGCAGAAAAGGTATGGTAATTCCTAGGATGGTTTTCAAAGTAAGTTGCACACAGTACTGTTCTCATAAGATGTCCTAGGACACAGGGCTTTATATTATGTCATATTTAAACAGATCTGTGAAAAAGAGTCAAGTAGTGTAGAAATCTCTTTACATATTCAGCTGTGGCATTCTCCTACTTTATAGTCATTTTAAAAATGCTAGTTAATATTCTTTAGACTGTTTTGAGAAGGACTAGAACATGGATCATATGATGGGAGTGGGAGATGTTAATGAAACTAATAGAGAATTTATTGATTCACAAAGTATTTTAAAGCTTTATTTATTGGTTCTTTCCCCTTAGCAGAAAAACATTAATCAAAAAGATACTTTCCTAAAAAACAGGGCAAGATTTAACAGAGGATATTAATCTATTTGTGAAGGAAAATGTTATTTCTTTTTAAAGCACTCTGAATATTTAATTCTAAGCACAATGTCTCAATACTTGCTTGCAAAAGGACAAATAATAAAGAACCACAGTTTCCAAAAACAAATTATTGAAAAATGTTGTCTAGGAAAATATAAAAATTGCCAAAAATGTGTCTGCTGCCTAGAGGCTGTATCTGCCAAGCTATTTTTTTTAGGCAAAGGGTACTGTGGTGGTATTTTCTAAGGGCATTTAGAGTGGTTTGCAATGGACATTGAACTTAGCTCAAGGTCATAGAATTTGAAACATGAATGTAGCTTTCTTTAAATATCTTATTTATGTATAATATACATTTATAAAGTATATACATAAATTGTATAAATAAACATATAATAAAATATCTTGATGATATCTAGGTAATATCTACTCAGATATCTTGGAGATTTATGTATCTATCTATATATGACTACTGTAAGAGGAAAACATACTATAATCACAGAGCCTCAGAATTGTCCTGCATCTGTCTCTGGGTCGCTGGCTGGACAGCTTTGTGACATTCCCATTCACCAATTTTCTTCCTTGTTTTATGGAGATGAAGGACAAACTTGAGATCATGCTGCATCATCAAGGTAAAGAGACTTTGAGACAGTATATCGTCTTCCCCTCCTACTTAAACTCTGTACATGTTTTTCCCTTTAATTTTGTAAAACTTGATTTTCTGTTATTGTATAGTTGGATTGCATATTTCTGCTATAAATTTTAGCATAAACTCTGATGCTCTCCTGTGTGGAAGAGACAATATAAATTTTTAGAAGTTTAAGATATTTAGTTTTCATAAAAACTTTCTGGAACATTGATATATAGTTTCTCTAGCTAATGTATACAATAATCAAGGGAGTATATTATATTATTTAATTAATCTTTTGGATAATTTTGTACTTTTGCCTTGTGTGTTTCCACATACAAACTGGCTTATAATTGTTCTACCGTGTGTTTCTCTTATCGGAAATCATTACAGTTTAAATCTAAAATGGCCCCTCTTCTCTGCCAAACTCTCAAGTATTCAGAAGATGGGCTTTTGGAAGGTGACTGGATTACAAGAGTGCCACACTTATCAGTGGATGGATCCATTGATGAGTTTGTACTTGGGTGTGTTGTAAACTATACGGCACAATTGGAGGTGGGGCACTAGGAGCATGACCTGGAAGGGTCTACTCCTGTCTCCAGTTTCTCCCTTCTCTACTTCAGGACTTCCCGAGCTGAGCAGTTTTTCTCTGCCAGGCCCTTTCACCATTCCAGTTCTGCCTTTGAGCCAGTAGACTGTAGACTAACCTGTGAGTCAAAATAAACCTTTCCTTCTTTAAGTTGCAAGTATTGGGCACTTTGTTCCTGTGATGGGAAAGTGACAAATATAGTAAATGATATATTTTTGTCATTAATTCACATATATTATATATCCCCATTGTATTATATTAATGCCATATGATTTGTAATTAATAGTGTCTAATACTTATCTAAATTACAAAATGTATTTTCCATTTACCCAGTGTTTTAAAATATATTTTTAATAGAATGTTATAAGATTTAAGTTTTCTTTAAAAAAAATAACGGGAATTAATAATAATAATAATTATTTTTAACGATAAGGTCTCATTATATGGTTCAAGCTGGCCCTGAAATCATTATGTAGCCCAGGATGCACTCAAACTCACGGCGATCCTCCTGCCTCAGCCTCCCTATAGCTGGGATTACAGGTGTGGACCACCACACTTGTCATAATTATTATTTTAAGAACATTAAACCTTTGATTTTTGGAGAGAATCAAATCCTACGGTTGTAGTTTACAAGGAAAAATAATGAAACATTTATGAATTATCATAAAATTGCATCTTTTCCTTTTCTAACCAGTCTATAAGGAAATGTTTCAACATCAAATATTTTAAATGAAATTTATAATTATCTACTCCAAATAAATTAAAAAATATTCACTTGCTTCATATTCTCATAGTTACTTAATTTTAAAAATAATTAAAGTAATTCTATAGATAAAACATCTGTGTTATATCTATCTAGAGATCATAACGGTGTGAGGAAACTAACTGATTGGGAATGTAGTCCTGATAAAGTGGGATGTATAATTTCAAATATTCGTTACACTGTTTATCAATGTCTTTTAATGACTGCTGTAAATTAGTACCAAATCCTGTTTATCACTTTTCAGCCTAGGATAAATTAGAGAATGAGATTATACTTTTGCTAACAAAATATTAATGTGGCATTCTAAAAGTGACATAATGGTCTATTTTTGGGTTTTTTTATGCGCAAGTTTGCTTCACATAAATGGCTTTTTTACAAATTTGAAATGTGAATATATTTTATTTTTCCCAGTGAGTACACAATACACAATTCTTTGACAATACTATTAACCAATGTTTATGCCAATTTCTTTGCCAATCTAACAACATCAAATGAAACACAGTAAGATTTAGACGCTGTTTGGTGACTTAAACAAACTAGAGTTAAAAAAAAAAAGAATCCACCTATAATACAAAGTATAAAAAATCTACCACGGCCACAAAATCCCTTATCTTGCAACACTTTTAAAATCACAATAAATGCTTTTGAAATCAAAAAATTAAAGAAAATTAGTATGTCACTTAAAAATGAATGGTGTTTCATTTGATGTACACATTATAAAGGAGCAAAATAAATGTAACTTCACCTCTAAGATAATGTGGAAAGACATGTTGCTTTACACCAATGTTTGTCATGTCATTCTATAAACACAACATACAGAAGCAGATGAGGAAACTAACATTAGTGAATGTTACGGTTCTGCATATCGTTAATACTGATGCATGATAGCTTTCCAGTGGAGGTAATCCATAATTTAGAGCTCATTGGCATTGTTACTGTTTTATTGTCAATGGACAATTACATAAATATATTGAAGAGAAATTAGGAGGTGTTCCACCAAAGCACATACAAACTTTGAACTAAATCCCATTGAAAATATATTTAAATATCTAGAGGTTTCAACTATGACACAGAACACCATGACATTTGTTATTCAAAGCAAGTACACCTGTAATGGTTCTATTTCCCTTGTGATACCTTACACATTGGTCTTGATTTTTCTATCTTCTTTCTTAAACTGGATTAAAATTCTGTGAAGGAAACAATTGTTATCATGCCCCTGCACTATCTTGTTTTTACTATGGCATGGCAAAATTTGGAGGAAGGTAAGCTGACTCCACTGCATACACTGGCATACCTGAGTTTGAGCACTGAGAAGCAGACTCTGCCTTTTATTAATGCTTGTGTCTGGCATGGCTGCATAGCGTCACTGCCTAGGAGTGCAAGAGAAGATGACTTTCTCTTCCACCTAGAATTTCTATCTGAGTGTGTATGCTGGCCCCTGTTTAGACCTGCAAAGAGTGAGCTCAGTGAATTTCAAATCACATTCATTTAATCAGCCACACAAAGAGAAACCGAGGTGGCTGTTAGACAGGTTTGTATTTTTCTGTTGACATTCTGACTTACACTGATTAATAACTTTTTACATATAGCAAGTTGGTGAAAGCTTTTAATTTTTGATATGGTTCCTAGATTCATATAGCTATCACATATTATCCTCCACATCAGGTCACTATGTATATTAGATGCTGGATTTGGCAGATCAATTTATTTAAAATAAGATGTAACAGACAATATGGGTTATTCTAAAAGAATATTCCAAGTATTTAAAATAAGATTTAACAGACAATATGGATTATTCTAAAAGAATATTCCAAGTAACCACAAGGTCTATATTGATGTATTTTTTAAAAATTTTATGTACTGAAATCAGAAAGATATGATGCTATGCCCCCCATTATTCTACAAATAATCTGTAAAGTGATACTGCTTTGAAATTTTGATTTACTAATCAACTACAAGCCATTCAGGGTCAAGGCAATGTGTAATATGTGTAATAAACTGAAGTTTTAAACTAAATTCAGTTACTGAGGAGCATACAAGAGGAAAACAAATGAATAAAACATCTTGGAAATTTGCTTTTAAATGTAGGAAGGTGAAGCAAGAAACTGTACAAATAAACAAGTTACATCTTAGTTGTGAATAATCATGTATTCATTTTTGCAGAAACTTTTCACCTTTCCCAGTCTCTGTCCCAGAGAGAAATCAAACTGCATTAGAATTCAGGCACTGATGGTATAAAGTTGGTGGACAGTTTAATAAGTGTGTTTGAGAATTCTTCTCTTCAGTGAAGAAACGAACTATGTGGCACCAAGAAGATGGTGGGGCCCATCAAGATGCCTGCAATCTATTCTGCCTGTGCTGATGCAGTCTCAGGGAATAAAAATGATGGAACCATTTAATGATGTCGTCCCTTAGCTATATTGAGCCAATAACACACAGAGAGTGAATTGTCATGCAAGGGGTCCCCCATTTTAGAATTTATCCTGATAATCACATTGAGTATTTTTTCAGTCTAAAAGCTACTGAACATATAGAAAAAGCACTGGAAAATATAGGCAGAAACAGAATTTAAGACTGTGTAGGTGGCTCATGAGGAAACACCACAGATGGGAATTACAGGAATCTTCCACTTTACTGATTGACTATACATGTACAGTAGCTTAACGGATTTGAAAGTCACATATTTTGAGTGTATATAACTGATGCTCAGGAACTTCTTGTTTTCAAAGTTGTGAAAACAAATGAGGCAGGACACTGTTATTAATGTCCACTTACAAGGGTTGTTTTTATTTAAAAAGTGTAATAAACATGCATTTTTCTCCTTTTCAATTTTCCTTTTCGATTTACTCATTCAAAATGGGTCAAACAGATTTTAACTCGTAGCCAATTTCTAAAAATGTACCATAAAGTATTTATTTCAATAAATCTACTTATTGTGAACTGAACATACTCTGGACACTGCTTTTTAAGCACTTACAATTTGGCTATATATTTGGTGGCATTGACTTCACTTCTTAATCAAATGAAACACAAAATTGTATATAGACTGCATTATTTTTATAAAAGTCATGAATTTAAGTGATGCAGCTCTAACCTCTATTGTGTACTGTACATGTATTAGAAAGATGAAACATGATATTGCAGTAGAATTCATATTTGGAAGCAGCCTGAGCATGTCCTAATAATAAATAGCTTCTTTAACTATTTGCTAGATACTCTAGAGTTCATTTTGTTTGTTTCCTCGGGGAGCTTCATGTTATATTCTGACTTAATGTGTTGGACAGATTAATTATAATTCAGAAAATGCTATTTAAAAACTGTAGTATGAGTACAGCTCTTGAGAAACACCTTAATTTCGTTTTGCTTCTTGCAATTCTCAGGTAAGTCAATTACAACTATAGGTAAATTTGATTCTAAATAAAACTTCATCATTTTTAAAAGCAAAATTAGTTCATCTTCACTACGTTAATGCATAGTCAGTCTAAAGACTTAAACTTCCTTCTTTTGACCCCCACCTTTGTCAATAATAAAAGCCATTTTTTTCTGCTTTTAAATTGACTCACTTCTTGATTCAAAGAAGACTTTGCCAATACCATTGTTCCTTTGCATCTTGCTATTTCTACACCCCAACTGGAAACCACCTAATGTGATTGGTTACATCAGCATTATCCAACTAGTTTACAGTACAGAAACTCCCTTCACATTCAATCTTTCTTCATGTCATGAGGAGTAGAGATTTGTGCTTATCACCAAATAAAATTGCAGTGCAAAATTTAAACATAAAAGTTACACAATTAAAAGTTAATATATGGCACCACAGCCTATTAATTCACATATAGTACAACAGACCATTAAGAACAGACAATAATATGAACAGAGCTAAAAAGAGTGAGCTTGCATAGCAATGCACAAAAGAAATTATATACAGAGGAAAATCCTTTTCTTCCTGGAGGGTGAGTTTTCGAGTTTTGTTTTCTTTCTTTTTTATATACTCCTGACAAGAAAGAGTTAAGGTGGGTGGTATACTTAAGAGAAGAACACAAGTAAAATATCTGTGGGATATGTGTGGCTGTGTGTCTTTACATTGCATTTACAGTTTTTTTAATAGTACATAAATAAAAGAAATTGTTCATTGCACTGTTTAGTGTCATCACTTCCATGAGTTCGGACCTGATGGTCCTTCAGAGCAGCTTTGAATGTCTCCTCTCAGTTACTCTGGAAAGAGATAAAAAATCAAAAATCAGAAATCAGAAATAAAATTTACATTTAAATTAAATGTTCTTCTTTCTAGAACAGTACAACTGAAATCAGGGCAAGCAGATAATAAATGAAGATAAAGTCACCAGATGCTTTGAGTTTGTGAATATAAGTAATTTTACTTGAAGGTTTTGAACATGAAGAGAAAGATAAACATTGTAGAATTTAAACATTTAAAATACAAAAACAGCTGCAATGTTTTATATTCCTTGTGATTTTATAATTATTTCAAAACATAAGTTAAACAAAAATCTATATAAATTAAAAATGATAATTTATAATAATTGTCAGATTAATGATAGAGCAAATTAACTCAGATCAATAAAATGTTAGTTTGAAAATATTCTGCCTTTTCATCATCTCATGAAATCTCTTAAACAGCATGCAATGTGACCATAATAGTAACCCTACTTTTTCTTTTACAGAAAGAAAAATAGAGAGTAGAAAAATAGTTTATTTTCTCATGTCACATAACCAGTTAAGTGGTTGAGAATATTAGAATCCATGCCTGTTCTCTTAGCAGTGCATTTAAGCTTAATTAAAAGAAGCATATGAAAATGCTAAAGGGGTACAATTCTGACATGAGCTAGTGAAACTGCAAATTGCCTGATGACATTAACAGAAAGAGCTCAATGATTTCTCTTTGACACACTGTGGCATTCCTATCTTTCTCTATTAGATAGTATTTTATATTTGAAAATTGATTACACTAAATAGCAAGGCTAATTCTTTATTTGAAAAGATACATTTATTTATAGGATATGTCATTGTAGTCAAAATATCACAATTCAACTACAAAAATCAACTTTTCAAGGTTGTTGTCCTACATTTTAAAAGTAAATAAATGAAGGGGAACTGCAGCCTAAAGCATTCTTAAAGAAGTTCTTTAAAACTACCAAGACTATCCTCAGTTAAAAGGGTAAGAAAATTACCAAATGGACTATGTATAGTTTGTAAGTACTAAGACAAACTTCCTACATTAAAACAATTTTTATACAACCTAAATCAACTTGAATTAGCAATGAAATATTTGTGATTGCCAGCTATAAATAGCAATCATCTAAGTTATGATCAAACTTGTAATTGATTTTTTTCCCATAACAGACCAAGTTTGTTATTATCCCGAGTGGGTTTAATATGGCAATGCTATTAGTGCAATATTCTCTTTGAATCATAATAGCCTTTAAATGACCTAAAGCACTTACATAATTCACCTGTAAACTGTCCTTGACTATTCGAGCCCAGATATCCTATGTCGAGGAGGTCGCTGGCATTGCGCTGGTGACCCCCTCTCAACACCTCGGCTTTCCTGGGTCCGGTGGACCCTTTAGAAGAAGATGTTCCCGATGAGCTGTGGCCGCCAGGAGATGGGAAGCTGGGCTTGCTGTACGGCACCAAGGCCTCCTCTGAAAAGGAGAAAAACACAAAAGGCTCAATTGAACTGCAACATGGGGGCAAAAGAGAAACTTCACTCTTAAATATTAAGCTCAGAACGGACCATTTTATTATTTCATTCTTCAGCAAAATTTAAATTATGAGGTTTAATCAGGCCCGGATATTAAAGGAATTTCCACGCACGAGCAAAATTTCCTACAATAGAAACTGAAGCAGGATTAAATTAAAAGAGATCGTGGGATAAGTACACAGTGTTACATATCATTTTCAAAATTTAAATTCATTATAAATGAGAGCTGTATACAATGAACCATAGTTTGCTTAACAAAAAGCATATCTGAGAAAAGTTTTTGGAGTTTAGTGAGGCTCTAATTTAATTTTCCCATTAAGATGGAAAGAACATGGCTTTTGTTTTAGTTTAAATTACAGCAACATTTTCTCAATCAACTTAACTCTAGATTAGTTAATTAAATAAACTTAAATTTTTTCTTCTGAAATATATTAGAAATATTGTGTATTTCATTAAAAGAGAGAGAAATCCATACATTTTAATAAATGTGTTACTATTCTCTTAACATACTGTTTATGCAGATGACTCATGATTTACATTACTAAATACTTAATACTTTGAAACTTTCTTTTTCTTCTTTCTCATATTTTCCTACCTCCATCCCCACACACCTTTACTCTACATTTTTTTGTATATAAGCCTTATTAAGTGATTTGATAACTAACAAATGATGACTGAATTTACTATCTCTTCTTACATAGTATTTAATGACAGGAATGACCTATTTTTTTTTCTCATAGCTAGAATGGTGTTTTCACTAGATCTAGATATTAACATTGTCATATTCTGACCCTTTTACAAATTAAATGTTTCTAACACTGGAGAAGAAGTTGTGACAAAATATACTTATGGAAAATGCATGGTGAGAGGACATATCTAGAAAAGATTGAGTCCAAATGAATAAGTGAATAAATACAGGTAGATTTTCAAAAGTTCTGTGTATGTACATATTTATTAGTATTCAATGAATCCCGATGTGAGATGTTCCTGAAAATGCATTTCTATAACAGGCTCAATGACCCACTCCCAATAATATCCAAGCAGAACTGGATATTATTCAATAAATAATATTTATTGAATTTATGACATTTATGTTGTATGATTTCCAGGAAGCTTGATTTATAAACAAGAGCATTTCCTATCCAGGAGTTAACAATGAACTACATTTAATAAGTTGGAGAAGGTATAAATTCAGTTTACACTTTTCTGACATGAGGACTCTGATTGGGCATTTACTTGTAATTTTATAGTTTCAATCAATTCATCTATTTGACTGAAGTGAGTTCTACTTTCAAGTGATTTGTTACTTCAGTCAAAATGAGCAAACTTGGGGAAGGCAGTAATAGAACTGACACAAAAGATGAACTTTAGTAGTCTTAAAGGTACTCAATACAAATATTACAAAGGAAAAAAATTAAATTGTCTCCTGGAGACTGTTGATGAAGGCTGGAGGCCTCTTGGACTCAAAGACCCTAGGGATAAATTAACTGGAGAAACAATCCCCATGGGAACGAGCCTTAAGGTATAAATATGCCAGTGAGCTGTGCTGCAGAATTCTAACTCTAATTACTGATTTAAGGCAAGTGTACTCAAAGGCCCTTAAACAATTGCCATTTCTAAGATACTCGGTAGGAAAAAAATGGTAACAGTCCCGGCTTTCTTGGGACTGTGCAGAACACACCTGATCCAACACCTTGTTTGTGTGGGGCTTTCCGAGTGTCTTCTTGGAGTTCTGTGGAGCTTATCCATTCCTGGGTTTGTCGCTGCCACTCTAGAGAGGTCTTAGCTGGACACTCCAGTGAGCTCTTTGTGTCTTCTAAGTTGGATGCGTGTTGTCTCTCTAGAGAGCTTCCTTTTCTCTCTGTTGAGTTTTCCACGTTACCAGTATGCTGGCTCGGGCCTATTTGTTGCCTTAAACCCTGACCTGGCGGGGGATCTGGTGGTGGTGGAAGATCTAAAAATTTTGAATAATGTTTAGAATGGACTAAAATTTAATGAAAAAATACAAGTTTTAGTTCAAGTTGAAAAAAATATACCCTTGCCCTCATATAAGTATCACCCATGCAAAAGAAATCTGGGGCAAATAAAAGTCAATTATTGATATCCAAAAAGAGCACTATTGATCTCAGTTCCACCTTCTCACCACAGAATTATTGAAATAAAATTGACTGGTTTTATGCAATTGTTAAACATGGAAAATGTTTTCAAGTGCACAGTGGGGCTAACATTTAAGGTTAAAGGGCAGTTGTGGTTTATTTCAGTTCATTGCCAGACCTCCTTCAAAGCAGAAACGCTGTGACAAAAAACAAGATTACTTGAAATTCTAGCAGCTGTGCTAATAGAAGTCCCTGAGAAGAATAAATCTCTTCTGCCAATCTCCATAGGAAATTTCACTCTTGGGAAATTAAGAACTATACGCCGTATCATATGCAACATATGATTGCCTTTATCCATGTATGTGGCACATTTAGCAATAGTCAAAGGGTTAAGCTAACATTTATTAAATGCAATTAACATTCTGTGTGACAACCAATTCTGGATATTTCATTTCATGAGTTAACTAATGAGTTACAACTAATATATTATAATCTTCTAATGTATTAATTTTAATAAATAATAACCAATGCTCAGAGTACAGAGCTAATATGCTTTATGGTGCTACAGTAGACAATATATCATAGAAATTTGAGATGTAGTGGAATAGATAATTTTCAAAAAACCTTTTAAAATTAAATATTGGATATGAAAAAATTAAAAGATCAAGTATCAGCTAATTTTTCAGAATTTTTTAGCTCTTGAGATCTTCACCTTTATATTTTTAATATCTTCACTTGTGAAATCATATTTCCTTCCTACTTATAAGTAATGCACTAGTTCTGAAATCACTTTATAGAAGAATTAAAGTCTTCTAAATGTTCATTTAAATCAATTTATTAGAATTTTTCTTGCATGCTATTTCAAACTTCTTTGTTCATCCTTAGAGTATTGATAATTACATTATTTGTGTATAACAACCATATATACATACTATATACATTTCATTAATGGAATATATTATATGTAGTAGAGGCAATTATTTCCCATGCTATTTTTGTAAATGTATTTCTGGTTTCTAATAATATTCTGTTTGTGAAATTTAAAAAGGGAAAGTATAAATTTCTTGCCTACAAAAGATAGCTTCCTGAAAGAAAGGCTAATTGGCTAGTTTTAAGCTTTATTCGTCTTATGAACAGAAAGATATTATCCTTCATTGAGCAAATAAAAATGATCATCTACTCTGAAAGTTTCTAAATTGAAGCAGCATTTCTAGTTCTTACGTACATCCTCATGTTAGATTATGAATTATTCATTATTGAAGGAAACAGGGTCTCTGAGAAAACGAAGTTGTATTTCAAACATTTCTCCCAAAATGAAGCACTAATACAATATTAAGATATTTGTTAAGTAGTCCAGTGACTTTAGAATTTACATTCAACACTGACTTCATTCCCCATACATTATTATATACGCAAATTAATTATTTAATTTGAGTTATTGGACTTAGACTGTCAGTGAAGAGAAATTATTGTATTTGCTTCCAAAATAACATATATTGTCATTGATTTTTATTCTCCATCAGAGCAGCTTAATTTCTAAAATGGCCAAAATGGCATCTGCTTATGTCAACTAAAATTCTGATGACTGTTTAACCTGAAATTATATAGCTTCATAATTAAGTAATATCTTTGGACATTGTATCATCTAAGAAGAAAAGATATTGTATGCAAACTGAAATAAATTAGAAAAAGACATGGAATTACAAATGGCTATAGAAAAAATAAAAGCATATAATCAAATACATTTCCTTAAATTAAATTTATTATTCAATTCTATGTTGATTCATTTCAACTAAGTCAATTTACTAAAGAGTATCTTACTGGCACACTGAGAATTAACTATTGTCAAGCAACAACAGTCCCCTGAAACTCATGCCATTATTATCTGCATTTCTTAGGTAAGAAAATGGGGCCCAAACAAATTAAGTACAGTATCTCCAGTTTGGGTTTCCCTTCCAGTGAATTCCAGACTCACGTAACCAAATATACTCTGGAAATTTCAGTTAGATATTTCGTGGAATTTGCAAATTTCACATCATCAAAATGGAGCTGCAAGTCATTGTTTATAAAATATGCTTCTTCTGTGGTGTTCTGCCTCTCATTTAGTGGCAATTCTATTCTATGTGAAAACTATTAAGTGATCTTTGTAGCTTTGTAGCCTACATTAATTTCATTAAGAAATTCTGACCTCCAGCATCCAAACTTTTTCATTCTACTAATTCTACCTTGGTATGATCAGCCATCACCTATTCCTTACACTGCTTCTATAATCTCCTATGTGATCTGTTTTTATACCTTTGGCCCATTTAGTACACGGCAACACAATAGCTAGTGTGACCTTTTCAAAATAAAATCATATAAGATTATGCCACTCCTCTACCACACACACACTCACTCACACACACACACACACACACACACACACACACACACACACAAGAGCTCCAGGAGTTTCCCATTCACAATACTGTAGTGCAGAAATCCTCACACACTGGCACTTATCTGCTTGCCTGTCTTCATACTCTATCTTGTTTCTCTGCCTGCTTCAGCCACACTGCTTCCCTGCCTTTTTATCAAATAAGCCTCAGCATTTCACTTGCTGTTCTTATTTCCTAGAATGACCTTTTCTCAGACATCAAGTACTATTTTTCCCCTTCTATTCTACAAGTCTTTTCTCAAATGTCAGTTTGTAGGTGAGGTTTTCCCTAAAAATCCTACTTAAAGTCAGCTCCTCCTGACCCTTGCATTTCTAAACTTTCTTCTCTTCATTTTTCCCCATGGCAATGATCACTCTGCTATACACTTTGCACTTTCACTTATATATTTGTCTTTCTTCCTCCACTAGCATGTAAGCTCTAGGAAACCAGGAAATTTGTCTATTTGGTTTCCATTGCCTACCATATGACCATGTGCTTAATAAAGAGTTGAACGAATAGATTAATGAACACATGAATTTGCTCAATGGTCAAAGCCACAACATGACAGAGCTGGGAATGAGCCCCTTCTCTGAATAAGATATTAAGAACTAAGGGAAAGGGAGAAGAGTTTGGAAGAAGATAGGCTAGGGAAAAGAGTTTAATGGGTATAGATCTTTCTTTCTTCAGCATTGTTGAATGCACTGGTTTCAAAGACTACTCTTTGACTTCCTGGGTAAATAGACCGAAGACTTGTATTCAGCAAAGCTTAGTTAGGAAAGACTTTACATAAGAGAATACTCCTTAAATGTGTCTGGATTTTTGCACAGTCTTTTGAATAGAGACTCCTCTTATTGGACCCAGAGATTACTTTCCTACCCTAGAAGTGAGTTTGAAACCATGGGATAGAATTCTTGACAATGAAGTGTAAAGTGCCACTTGCCACTTGCCACTAAAACCTTGCAAAGATCACTCAAGTTCTGTCTCCCCCTTGTTAAGAAACCATAATGGTCCAGTCATGAAAATGATGGCATTCCTATACTGAAGAGGCCTACATACTTATGTTACTGCTTAGAGGACAGCCACGTGAGCTTGATAGATCATTATGTCAATTAGAAAGAAAGTTTTACTGTGCTAAAACTCTGAGGGTTAGAGGTTGTTTGCTAAAGCAACTAGAAATAATTGCCTTAATTAATATAACTATAAAACTGTATTATAAAATCTATAATGCAAAAGTTTTAGTGTATTTTTCTATACAGTGAGCATTGCTAAGTAGCAACCTACCCAATTTGATTTTACGTGAAGATTCTGGAAATTATTCCTGACACATGGATTCTTATCACATAAATGTTGTGGCATAAGTGTTTGTTGTAAAATAACAATATTCTTAAGGATAATTTATAGGGAGGTGCTTGAAATAAATGTTCTGGTATCACAATTAAAATGTCTTTAGATTGAACATGTGTGAAGACAGGTAAGCCAAAATTTCCTTTTCAATATCACTATTTCTAAAATGTACCTACTATTAACACATAATGCGTTACTATTTTTTAGAATGCTAGCATATTTAAACATGTAGGAATCTATTTTTCTAAAGATAAGCAATATATTGATTGTGAATTAAACCAGGGAGTAAATTGTTTTTTGAAGATATATAGAAAAATTTTGTAAAAAAAATATAATAGGAAGAAAGAAAACTCTCTATTCTGTTGATTCAGATTCTATATCATCCACACATTCTGGATACAGTCTTCAAATATTACTGAAAAATCAAAGAAAATATTCAACTAATTTTTTTCTCTTGACATGATATTCAGAGTAGGAAAAAATATAACATTCTTAATTTTTAGATTTATAGATACCATATCCATGAGAGGTTTCCTTTTAGAGAGAATAATATCAACACAAAGACTATTTTAAGTGATCAACTAATCTTCAAAGCATCTGAGGCAGAAAAGCAGTGGTAAGCATTTTTGTTTACCAAAGGATAACCATTTATAAAAAAAAATGTAAAAAACTCTCCTTTGCAACCTTAACCCTCATGTCTTACAGAAATTGTACAATTAAAATGGAGAAAGAAGGAAAAGTAAGTAAATGTGAAAGATTTTTGCATAAGCATGTTTGGCTTTCTAAGTCTTCTTAGGAGTAAAAGGTAATAAAAGAAAGTGCAAAGATGGCTGCCAGACAGTGAATCCCCCTTCCTCAAAACACATTTCCTTTCCAATTAAGCTTCATTCTGTTCTTTAGTGATAAGTCTAAGAATGCTAAGGATTAGATCACAGCTTCTCCAAGACAGATATATATATATATATTAGATCCACAGATTGAGCTTCAAAAATACCCATAACTGGCTTTTACACCACAATAATTTGAATCTATAGGATGTATTTTCAGATTTCCCTAAGTGGTTCTAAGATTCAGTTTGGCTAAATTTATTCTTTTGGTGTTTAGTGAAACAATAATAGGACAAAGTTTATATGCTTATAGAAGAAGGGAAAAGAAATTTACTTCTGGGTCTATCATTATATTGGGCAGTTTAAATATGTTAATTTTTCTTAGAATAAAACTTGAGGATAAATATTTTCATTCATTCTTTAAAAGATATTAAGAATTACGTGGGAAATAATCAGGAAAACCTGAAGAATAGCCTGTGTTCCGTGGAACTGATGAAATACTAATACTGTTTTCTGAAGCTGGTAGTTTTTAGGCAAAGGTGAGATGATATACAAAAATAAAAGTATTGAAACAGGTCAGTAAACTACAGCCCATAAGCCAAATTCAGGCAGTACCTGTTTTGTCAATTAAACTTTATTGGAATTCAGTTGTATCCATTTTTTTTTTTAATTTTCCAGTAGTTATACTCATGCAACAATGGCAGTATTGAGTAGCTGAGATAGAGACTGTATACTCCTAAAGCCCCCAAAAAATCACTATATGAATTTTATCAGAAAAATAAATTACTGACCCATTGTTCTGTCCTCCTAAATTCACATGTTGAGATCGTGACCTCCAATATAATGGCATTGGATGGTGCAGGCTTTGGATGGTGATTAGGACATGAATACAGATTCCTAATGAATGGAATTAGTGTCTGTGTACAACGCACTTTAGACAGATCTCTGCTATTATGCAAGAACACAGCAAGATGGGACCAGAAAGACAGCCCTCAACAGACGCCAAATCTGTGAATACCTTCAATTTTGACTTTTTAGATTCCAGAACTGTGAGAAATAAATTTCCAATGTATTTAAGGTTATAACAGTCAACAAAGTCCCAACTGACCTAAGACACTCCTTCAACTACATGAGCGCGCTTTGCACCCTGAAATTCATAGAACTGAAAAATTATTTGAACATCTTTTCCAAAAGCGAAATATTATCTAAGATATTATAATTTACTGTCATAAGTGTTCTGATACTATAACAAGTGCACATGCTGTTTACATTTTCTTTCTTAATCTTAAAGTGCAATGTTTGCTAAAAAGTACTAAAGAAAAATGCTAGAAGAGTAGAAAAATCAACATTTAAAAGTGATATGGCATATCTTTCTTGAGGATTGGTAACATGGGACCAGTTTCAGATTGTTAAAAAGAGGGTGTTTTATTTAAATAAGACCATATGGCCAGGCTTCTGCCTTGTTATGTCATGAGGCAATGCTTAATCTATCAAAGCTATTTTCATCTAGGTTAATGACTGCACAGAGCACATCTCTTTAGTAAGGAGACAAGAGAAACGGAAATAAACTTACCATCTGTCATTCCTTCCCTTCGATGAGGCAATGCTGGCTGTTGGTCCATTCGCCCTCCCTTGTGTTTTTTGGTGGGCCTCGGCCTCTGACTTTGATTCAGCACTGCACTGGCATTACTGTCGGTAGAAAATGGGCTGGTAGGTCGAGGTCTTTGAGAGGAGTTAAAGGCTTTTCCTAAAAAGAAAAAGAGGGAAGGGAGTGCAGAGAATGTCATCAGAATGACAGATACTGGATTCTGCCATGTATTTCTGCTCTTCCTAAAACTAAACTGTGAACCTAACTACAGATTCCTTTTGAAGATATCAAATACTGATGCATCTCTCTATGGTCCTGCTGTATAAAATTTGCCCAATTTCTAATAAACTGAAAAACCCCAGCCACCAAATAGTATTTCAAACAAGTGAACATAAGCAAATCCACCAACCAAAAGTTCATTATTAGTTGATTATATTTTTATTTAACCTTGACAATCTTAGGAAATTTTCATAGATATATGCAAATCCATTCAGCACATACTTTTCTAAACTAAAGAGGATATTTCTGAAATAAATCGTGCACTATTTTATTGATTTACTCAAATTTCATCCTTCGAATATTATAAACTTTCTCTGAAAACTGAAAAAAAGTCTTATAATAATTATATTTGAAATGTTACATGAAAGATCTACTCAGATACATATATTCAACTGACCTTACCAAGAAATGTGCATACATGATGTATTCTACCTTTGTTTTTTTAGCAGAAAGTCAATAGCATAAGGAGACAGCAAGATAAAAATCACCTTGTATATCCAAAGTTTAATAGGTGTTTTCTGAGGAATGTTATTTGTATCTGAGCAGATTCTTAATTCTCACTGTAAAATGAAATATGCTACTTTATTTGTGATTTTGTATAAACAGAAGGAAATTTATTCTAGGGAAAGGTGAGCTAATAAATTTTAAACAGCTTATTATTTTAATGCTGTGTTTATTATACTAAGAGAGGCCTGGTTTATGTGCATGTATTTGTTCTCTTGTACGTGTTTTTATACCATACAAAATTATTATAAATACTTACATTTTCCCAAGTCAGTATGGCATGATATTGCTTAATGCTTTATTAGCTATTAGCATACATGCAAGAAATGCATTTTTGACTTCAAATTTATTAGTTTCCTTGCACTTTCTCACTGCTCTGTTTACAGCTAATGCCACAAAAAGCACTCAGGCAACATAAAGTTTTTGACTTATGCTTTATAAAGCAAGAAAATTTAAACAACAGTTAACTTACAACTTATTTTAGTTTAGATGCTATATGAAAATAAACCTTTGCAATGCTTGAGAAATCTTTTTTATTTTGTTTGAAAACTACTTAATGCAAGCTCAAAAGAAATATTGATGGTATATTTTGAAAGCAACTTCCAAGATTCATTGTTATGACTTGAAAGTTTAGCGTCAAAATAGTTTTCATTTACTATTTGAATACTACTAAGATTTTAAAAATACACTTAGGTTAGTTTTATTACTTTGTTTTAGAAGACATCTCCATTTAATTCATATATTAGTTTCCTATATGTACAGTTAAGATGTATACATACAAATATAAAGACATACATCATGCCAAAGTTACTTTTTCTCTCCAGGAAAACAAAAGATTATAATTTACTAATCTATTATTATAGCTAAACTGGCATTTCTTTCTTTGAGGAAAAAGCAGCATATGAAAAATTACATAATTGCCCTTAGATTAATCCTTATTCTTAGCAATCAAAATTAAATGACTCTAAAGAGCAATATATAAGTAGTCATCATTTTATTCAATTTGCAAATGCAGTAGGTTTATCTTTAGTTAGCATCCTTTAAATCATAAAATAAATTATTGTATTAAAATCTTAGCCAAACAATTAATATGACCATCCATTATTTGAACTGTTAGACCAACAGCCTTAGACCCATTCACCCCATGCTGAAGAAACCTTCCCAGAAAATGCATTTGCAGAAAGAGATGGGCAAAGGAAAGTAAGGGAGATAAAAGATGAATAATTTTAAACACTAGGTTCATTATTGATTGTGTGAGGATTCTGCAAAGTGTGAGTTATTGAAAATTCAATGGCAATCTTAGTTGCTGCTTTGTTGTATTATAAAAAGGAAGCATATTCCAATTAATCAGCACAGCTATGAAGAGAAAGGATTAGAAGGTGGTGAGTAGACTATTTTGGCTCTGTAAAACTAACATCAGAAAAGAGTTCTGGTAACAGAGCATCCAATCTGTGTTCATGCATATTAAAGAAAGCCCTGCAGCCAGACTCTCTAAGGAGAAAGTATAAGAGAAAGAAGATCAGTGTCCAAAGGACAAGACTCTGTCATGCAAAGAGTGTTGACTTGGATTCTACCAACCTGTTCTTGAAAGGCTGGTTCCATCCAGCCTAAAACCAGCTTTATCTGCTGCTGCCACCAGTGCTTGTGCAAAACTGCCGCTGGCAAAGATGGAGCCATCTGAGGAGCTACCTACACTAGATCTATGACTAGAAAAGTTACGATCCTCATCAGATGCAGAGCCCCATCCATTTACCATTGAACCTAAAAACAAATGTAGTTGGCTAGTGAGTTGTATACATTGGATATCTTATCTTCTTGTACACACTATACTAACGAGGAAGGAGGCTGCCTCAACACCTTGCTTCATCTTTGAAATTTGATCCTGAGTTCTCTAGCCACATATCCATGTTTAAAAATTCTCAGTGTAGAAGAATGATGCTAGTTTAAAATCTGCATCTATTTGCAACAATGAATAAAACAGGTTCTAAATGGTTCGATTACTACATGAAAGTTTTCCAAAAAGAGCTGCTATATGTATTAAATTTCTACAATTCAGGGAAGAACATTTATCAAAACAATTACTGATTTTAAACCAATGAGGGGTTTAGTTGAAAAAACAATGTAAATAAGTTTTAAAGTTAGTTCAGACTCCAATAATAATCTGCATAAATGCTTGTATCTCAGGTATTGTACATATAGTTCTCTAACACCAAAGATACAGAATTATTTCAAGATTTTAAAATAAAAAAATTGATTACTTAAGAAATAGAAAAAATCAAAAACAAAAATTTATAAACATTCTGAAAACAATAAATGTAGACCATAAGGAAAATGTATTTTATAAAAGTTGTATTAATGTCAATACTCACTATGCTTTCTTTGATTTTTAATTGTTTGAAAAACTCCAGTTGTCTCTTTAATACTAATACTTATCTTTACAACATAACCTCTAGAAAGAGTATCACCAGAATTAATATGGATTTTTTTTCTGTAAAAGGCAACATGTCAACAGAGGAAAATAATTTTAGCTTTATGTGTAAGGAACTGTTCTTAACTTTCTAGAAAGTCATTAAACATTTTATATATTTTCATAGAAAAAAGCATACTAGGAACTTATTAATACAATTAATATCACAGTATTTACTTAAGTTTTTATACCATTAATTCATGACAATAAAATACCAAGTATTACTTACTCTAATTTTTGTTAGGAGGGCGATAAAACACTATTTAGAGAAAGCTTATTTAGGATTTCTAAATAAAGGAAATGCATGCACATGAAAGAGGTGAAAATCAAACGTTACAGAGTATGCCTCCTTTTCTTCAATACTTAAGAGACAACACTGTAGTTAGAAGTGTTGCCATGCAAAATTTGTATTTTCAATCAAGGTGCCAGGATACAGTAACATGAATTTATGCACTCTAAAGATGGAGAACACAGAAACTGAAGGGGTCAGAATGATCTGAGAAGTTAAAAGGGTGTTAAGTGTAACAGAGAAAGATAGAGTTTTGATTCTATTTGCCAAAAGCATACAGATACACTTTCTACTTTCCAAACAAATTCCCTTGACACAGGCCACTGCAAGGAATCTGAGATAACACCAGCAACCGAGCCTCCTTGGAGAGATTCATTTCTAGGTTAATAATCACAAGTCAAGGACCAACAGCTCAAAATGAAAGAAGAAATGATGCAATAGGCCTTGCAATATAATGCTACAGTAGATAAGAAAAAATCAAAGTGATTCAGTCAGGGTTCACAAAAGAATATGATACTCTAGATCTGAGAATAGTTATAACCATTTGAATGCTCACTTCCAATCCTTTCCATGTGCTCTTTTCTGTTTTTCTAAATGCTCTCGCTTTCCAAACAACCATCCTTTTTTTTTTTTTCATCTCTAAACTCCTTCTGATTTCCTTCTAATCTCTTCTTTCTGATTGTTAGCTGAATTATCTTTCTGAATCACTTGTAATACTCTTTTGCTAATTCATTTAAAGTCTACCTAGTCCTCCAGTGTCACTTCCAAACTGCTCCTTGGGTCTCTTGACACCCTTCAATATTAAGACCAGTCTACCTTTGCAGCCTTGTTTGGTCTTACAGCCAGGGCAGTCTTTGCCTCACCTATACATCACCTCCCATTCCTTGGGAATACTTTGTATTATTGCAAACTCTGTTAACACTGTCAAACTGCAAAGTCTAAATGAAGTACCTTCTACCTCACTGCCTTAGTTCTACCTCACCTACAATAAGGGAAAATCAGTCTTGTGTCTTTTTGTTGTTGTTGTTGTTCAAAGGCTGTGTACACAGTAGTGTATCATTTCGCTTCCTTTATTACAGTTTGTTGATAATGTATGTTTTCTCCTCTTCAAAGGAGAATTCTGGACATTAAGAGCTAACTTTTATTCATTTCCATATTTCTTATACAAAGGGCATTGTATAGTAGAAATTCAACTAACAATGTGTTCATTCTGATTTCAGTGCTTTTAACATTTCCATTATTCACTGTAAATTTATGTGTGATTCTATTTGATATATAATTTCTCAGCATTGACCTTTTTTTCCTCAAAATGCAAAAAGAATGCCCTCATAAGCAGATCTAGAAAATTTATTGAATACGGAATAGAATGTTAGTGAATCCTTGTTGATTACTCAGATAAGAGGAAAAGCAATGTGATCATCATCCAAAATTAGAAATTAAGAAATAGTACATATATAACTTGTATTACATAATAATATGTTATAAAATGAAATATTTGTATAATCTTTATGCTGTGATACACTTCAATATTTATATTTACTGGTATTTTATTCAAATTAAGATAATGAATTTACATCAAGTGACAATTTATTATTGTGTGTGTGACTCCTCTATCCACAC